GTGTGCCCCTACACCCAGCTGGTTGGTGGCCTTTGAGACAAGTGATGGGACATGTAATAGTCATATCATAATTAAATGCCTGTCTAGCCCACCTACAGCGCTGGCTCTGAGACCTGTGATGGAGAGAGGTTTCCGGGAAGGAGATGGGGGACTGGGAACAGTGTTGTCCTTTGGTGACATAGGAAGTCAGCTGCCATCCCATCAACCATGCATAGACAAGTGCTGGCTTTCCCACACATTTTCAGTGGCTTCTTTCCCTTTGTTTCGCATCTGTGAGTTCTCTCTGTCCTGGCTCCTTTGAGAATTACACAAGCTCATAGAAGATCGACGCTTCCTTCCTTTCTTTCTTCCTTTCCTCCTTCCTCCCTTCCTCCCTTCCTCCCTCCCTCCCACCCTCCTTTGCTTTCTTCCTTCCTGAGACAGGGTTTGATATGTAGTTTAGGCCTCAAACTTTCAGCAACCCTCCTGCCTCAGCCTCCTGGTTGCGGTAATTATGGCACGCACCCCACCCCAGACATAACAATACCTTTCCTTTGCACCCCACAAGGCAGAGGGATTCAGTGGGATCCTCCACAGCTGTGACCCCCAGTGGGGCGACATCTGGGCAGTCCCCAGCCCCGGGCAGGAGCGCAGGGTCGGGCGCTCAGGGGAAGGCTGAGACCAAGCTGGAGCGCGTGTCCTCTTCGTCTTGGGGAATGAGCGCTGCTGCGCTTTAGATCTGTCTCTGCACCCCGCTGCTGCGGCGGAGCAGGCTGTGAGAGGGAAGATTCTCAGAGGAGCTATGTTTTAATGTTGCAATTTGATTCAATTTTCCACTCTATAAAATTACCCATCACCGCTCGTTGCTTTCTAACAGACACCTTCACTCTTAATTTAACAATCCTATCGAATTCTGCCAGGGAAATTGGAAAAATTTATCACCTGTGAAATTTTATTTTCCTTCGGTTGTATCTGTTTTTGTAAAACTTCATTAACGACGATGACTTGCTGAGGAAATTATCATTTTTTTTTCAGCTTCAGACACAAGCAACTGCTCGACCTCCACCAAGATATCATTTGCATAATAAAACACAACAGCAAAAGGCTGGAGAAGGGATTGGCAGAGGCCTGGGGCCTGGGAAGCCGGCTCTCCTGGGTCAGGCTGGGGGGCCACAGTCCTGCTTTCTTCTCTTTTGACACAGGGTCTCCCTCTGTAGCCCGGGCTGGCCTTGAACTCACGGTGATCCTCCTGCCTCAGCCTCCTGAGTGCTGGGAAGACAGGTGTGCACCACCACAGCCTGCCTGACAGTCCCGTTCCTTGGGTCCAGGAATGTGGCTTTGCTCCCAGGTTAGCGACGAATCTAGAGTCCAGGCCAGAGGCTCTGACTGCTCCTAGGAAGTCTTGAATCCAAGTTCCCTACTGAGGACGCTGTCAGCCACCCACTTGTCTCCGGGGCCTGAGTGCTAGATTCCTAGGTTCCCACCTTCATCTGGGATGAGGTTTCTGTTGCTATAAATCTAGGCTTAACTTGAGTTTCCTGCAGAGTGCTGACACCTGGCGAATTTCCACGCAGCTCCTGGAGAACCAGCCGGAAGCGCAGCCTCCCCGGGGCCTAGTGACCTCTCGGCTGCAGGCTGGGGGCGGTTTGCACAGCCCGGCCCCCACTGTGCAGTGTTTTCTGTGATGCCGCTCTATCCTGCTGTGGGCAGAAGGGTGACCCATAGCATAGCACAGACCTGCCGCACCCTATTTTCTGTGGTTCTTGTTGGGAACCAGGTCCTCCTAGGTGGCCAAGGCTAACCTGGAGCTCAGGACCCTCCTGCCTCAGCCTCCTGCGTGCTGGGATGACAGGCGTGCACCTCCACGGCCTGGCTGACATCCTTCACACTTTGGAGCCTGACTTCTGTCCTTTCTCCCAGTCCCCTGGAAAGAAGTCACAATGTGGTGATGTTTCAGCTCCGAACTCACGGCAAACCTGCGAAAGCGGACAGAGTATTCTGAGCCTTGAACCTTTGAAAGCAAGTCATCCGGCACAGCAGATGGCGCACAGGAAAGACTCTGATCAAATTCAATCTTGCTCCCAGAGTCTTTCTGCTGGGATCATGTCTCCGCCTTCAGAGGGCGATGTTTAGATCTGGCTTCCTATGAAGTGTTCCAGGTTGCATGTCCAGTGTTGCTCTTTTTGTTTTTTTGAGACAGGGTCTTACTCTGTAGTCCAGGCTAGCCTCAAACTCACTGTGGAGCCCAGGCTGGCCTTGAACTCTCAGAGATCCTCCTGCCTCAGCCTCCCAAGTGCTGGGATGACAGGTGTGGGCCACCATGCCTAGCTCAGGTCCAGAGCTTCTGAAACTAGGAGGAGATAACGAGAAGGTGCAATGTCTCACCTGGGAGGACTTCATAGATGCCCTCTTCCCTCTCCTTTGTAGGCCCCTGGGTCCTCAGGCTCCCAGGCAAGAGGACAGGTCTTCCCCGGGAGGCAGAATTCGGGGACTCAAACCCGTCGATATCATCATAGGTCTCTTCCCCTTCCTCCTCCTTCTTGTCCTCCTCCTCTTCTTCGTACGGGATGGTAGAAGAGCTCAGATCTGCCCGGAGGAAGATAAAGGTGAATCAGGAGGGGAGAAGGCAGGGAGGGCATCAGGGAGGCGGTGGGGCCAAGACGCGCCCAAGGAAAACCCGGCGCCAGGGTTCGAGGTGCTTTCTCATCCCGGCCGGGTCTCAAGAAAGGCTCAGCCGAGCACCACGTAAAGCGTTCCTTGCAATAAGACTACCAGAAGGAAGCTGCCCTGAAGGCACAGGTGTGTGAGGACGAACCGGGGCTGAAGGGACAAAAACAGGCCCGGCAAGGAAAAGCCAAGGTGGCCTGTGTTCTCCAGCGTGCACGGAGCAGGGGTGACCGCAGTGGCCTGTGTTCTCCAGCGTGCACGGAGCAGGGGTGACCGGGGTGGCGGCAGAGGAAGCCCTTCCCCCAGGGACCGAAGTGCAGAATTCCAGACCAGTTTGTTTATAAAGAAAAACAAAAATGGGAGAAAGTGGAAGAGGAAAAGAAATGGGGGACAGGACAAATACAGCAGCCCCGCAGCCACAGGACAGTGGAAAGGATCGCAACTCTGTTCTGTGGGCCTCAGAGTGGGGTCACCGCCCCAGTGTGCCGCGGGAGCCCCGAAGTTGGCTTGCATTCTGACGGGGCCCAGAGAAGGCTCGTGCTCCGCAGGAGGGGTGGGGCGGTGGGGTGGGACAGCGCTCCCCCAAATCCTGCTCTGGGACCTCAGCAGGGTGGGCGGGGTGGGTAAGGGTGGGGCGCACCCCAGGGCTGGGGGAGCAGGATGGAGAGACATCGAGGGTCCCCTGTGAGAGCCAGAGAATCGATTAGGCTCTTGATAAAGATTTTGCGACCATTTCCGCCTGAATCCTGGCGCTGCTTCCTCGGAGGGAGGGGTCAAAGGCACATCTGCGGCTCCAGCCACGGTATTATTCGGTTTGTTTTAAAGGAAAACGGGATGAATAATTTCTTCAATGTGGGATTCTGAATGTACCACAGGGTACAGCTCAATAAAGCCGCTTTGAGTTTTATGGAGGTTCACACACTTAGGCCGATATTACACGCATAAATCCCGGCGCCTAGGCGCGCGTGTGCCCCGCCACCTCGCGGGCAGCGCCGGGTCCCGCTCCGCCGGCGCCACGCGGGTGCAGGGTGCGACCGTTTGTTCCTGTGACCGCAGCGGCAGGGGCGGGTGAAACAGGCGACCCTCGAGACCAAAGCTCGGCGCACCCTCCTCGTCCCTAATAAAATCGTGCAGAGATTAGACGCGCCGGGGAGCGGGCTTGGTGTGCTTAGGTGGGCGCGCTCCGGCCGGCGCAGAGTGGCTCCGCTGGGGACAGGCGGGTGACAAGGCTGCCTGGGTCACGCGGCCGAACGCGGCGGCCAGCAGAGGGCGGTCCAGGAGCAGGCATCTGGCGGCTGCGGCCTGGGAAACAGCGCTTGGTGCGAAAGGTCCAAGGTCCCCGAGGGCCGCCTCGATCAGTTTAGATCTCCACTTCCCGCCAGGACTAGACGTGGAAGAACTTGGGCCTCAGTTATAAGTGCGATGACGTGAAGTCGGATATTATGGATTTTCCTTCCAGGATAAAAGAAAAGGGGGCCAGAGATGGCGAGGAGCTGGCTTTCGGGATTCCTTTTTCTTAAGCTTAGAAGGAGGAGGTGGCATCAGAGGTCACCTTCAGCTTCATGATGTCCTTATCTTCTGATTGACAAGTGAAGCTATTTGCTGTTAGTATGTAGGGGTGCAGGGGCTGGGGGTTCGATCCCCGGGCCTGCCGTGCTGGCCTGCCCGGGCGCGCTGAGAGGGCGATTGAGACGGGGCGTGGTGGCGCGCGCCTGTAATCCCAGCTCTTGGGAGGCTGTAAACAGGTGGGTCACTACATGTCCGTCTGATCTAGTAGGGAGATTCTGATCACCCTGTAGACCCTTCCCTAAGAAGTTAAAAAAAAAAAAATTCGGGAGCGGGCAGGTGGGGACAGGAGAGGGGAGGGAGAGCAGAAAAAAGACCCCCAGAAGCCTCCAGACTCTGCTTCCGCAGCGTAGGGTGCCTTGTCCCACTGCCACTGCCACTCACCTTTTAACAGGAAGCTGATCTGATCCACCCAGTCTCTGGCTTCCGCTGGACTAGCAGCTGTAAACTGGAGAGAGGTCAGCAGATTAACTTGTCATCTGCAGCAAAATATCCAGGACCCTGATAGCGAGCTCCAAGGAAAGGAAGCTGTGACTGTCCGAGTCACGTATAAGGTACAGATTCTCTATCTGATTAATATTAAAAAAGGAAAGACCAAACAGCTGACTTAAAGCGATTTTTTTCCCTTCAGCAATTTTACATACCCAGAGATAATATTATTATTTTGGTGGAACCGGGGATTGAACTCAGACCCTTGCGCTTGCCAGGGGAGTGCTTATTCTACTGAGCCATCTCCCCAGCCCCTTCATTATTATTTTTTAACAGAGGGTCTCACTGTGTAGTTCAGGCTGGCCTTGAACTCACTACATAGACCAGGCTGGCCTCAAGCTCCCTGTGATCCTCCTGCCTCAGCCTCCCGAATGCTGGGACCAAACAGCTTTTTTTTTTTTTTTTTTTTGTGGTACTGGGGATTGAACTCAGAGCCTTGTGCTTGCCAGGCAAGCATGTATTCTACTGAACTATCTCCCCAGCCCTAAAATCCAGACATCTGTGTTCATTATCTATTCCTTCATCAGGCATTTATTTGAGAAAAGTTGTGCTCACTTCGGCAGCACATATACCAAAATTGAGTGATACCGACAAGATTCGCATGGCCCCTACGCAAGGATTACACCAAATTCGTGAAGCGTTCCATATTTTTCTGTTATGGACTACTGGACTCTTGGAATGGTTTGCTGAGTTCACACACCTATAATAAAAAAATGATGGAAAGAAAAAGAAAAGAGAAGGAACAGATCAATTTGCATATGAGGTGGGAGGCCTTGTATCGACCACGGTAATGTCTTTCTCTCCAGTGCTGGGGGTAGAACCCCGGGTCTTGCAGATGCCAGACAGGCGCTGTACCAACGAACCATGAGAGCGGCTGGGGTGAAGGTGGACACGGACGCACAGGTACCCCTAGAGCAAGGCAGGGAGGTGGGCTGAGGCGGTGGCCCCGGAGCTGCGCCTTGCGGCAGGGGAGCGGCTTTGCGCGTCGCGGGGAGCAGGCGGCTCGGCTCCCCTGGAGAAAGCACAGCACGCTGAAGAGCTGAGCGCCGAAGAGAATGAGCGAGAACGGACGACCGGAAGCCAGGCGGAGCGAGAACCCGCAGAGCGTTGCGGCTGGAATCAGCGGCCCCGCAGGGAGGAAGCAAGCGGGCTGCAAGGCAGCTCCCGAGACTGCGGCCGGCCGGCAAGGGCGGGCCTTCGTGAGTTGAACTGAAGAAGTTTCACTTGTTACGCAGGCGCTTATACCACTGAGCTACACCCCTGGCCCTATTATTAGTTCTTTTTTTTTTTGCAGAACCGGGGATTGAACTCAGGTCCTTCCACTTGCCAGGGAAGCGGTTATTCTACTGAGCCATCTCCCCAGCCCCCTTATTAGTTCCTAAGATGACATTTCTACACCAAATTTTTGATTTTCACATAAGCTTTCACTTGGATAAAGTCTCATCAGAATTTTATTTTTTTGTTTTATTTTGTCTTTTTCAGACTGGATTTCTTTATGCAGTTCAGGCTGGTTTTGAGCTCACTTTGTAGCCCAGGCTGGTCTCAAATCCCCACTGACCCTCCTGCCTCAGCCTCCTGAATGCTGGGATGACAGGTTTGAGCCACCATGTCCACCTAGTGTCTCATCAGAATTCCTTTTTTAAAAAATGTATTAGGTACAGGGTCTCACTATGCAGCTTGTACTCCTAGGGATCCTCCTGTTTTCAGCCTCCCCAGCGCTGGGATTACAGGTGTGTGCCACACACCCAGTCTCAGTGGCAGGCTCAGCGCACCTGGGGGCGGGGTGAACCCTGGTCCCTGCGCTTGCCTAAGCAGGTGCTCAGTCTCTGAGCTATCTCACTGGCCCCCTGTGTCTCATCAGAATTTAATGGTGAGGTCAGGGAGATAGCTCAGTAGACTAAGCGCTTGCCTGGCAAGCACAGGGTCCTGAGTTCAATCCCTGGTACCGCAAAAGAAAGAAAGAAAGAAAGAAAGAAAGAAAGAAAGAAAGAAAGAAAGAAAGAATTTAACAGTGAAAGGGCCGGCAAGATAGCTCAGTGGTCTAAAGTGCCTGCTTAGGCACACTTAGACAAGTGCGGGGGCCGCGGTTCCATCCCTGGCTCCACACGCCACGCCAGCCCCCTTCCTGCCCCCACCAGGCAGGCTCAGCTGGCCACAACAAGAGCAGCAACAACAACAACAAAGAATTTAATGGTAAAATTAGGCACATAACCAGCACACATCTATATTTTGAAAACTCGATAGGAAAATTGTTCAAAGTTTAAAAAATTATGGAAATTGTCTAAGGAAGAGGTAGACAGTTTATTTTCTTTCTTTCTTTTCTTTTTTCTTTTTTTGGCAGAACCGGGGATTGAACTCAGGCCCTTGTGCTTGCGAGGGAAGCACTTCTTCCACTGAGCCATTTCCCTGGCCCCCATTGGTAGACTGTTTTTTATCAAAATAAAGATTAAGTTATTATAGCAATATAAAACTTGAATGCTGAGAAAACTTGAGGAGCGAAAGCGTTGCTTAATTTACCTTAAATGTGCATAAGTTAGCAAAGGTTTTGCTACCTTGCTTCAGTAAAGCTGAGATATAATAAAAATGACCAGTGAATAGGATATTTTATCTATCTGCTTATTTTTTAAATTTTTTTTTGCAGTACCAGGGATTAAACTCAGGACCCTGTGATTGCCAGGCAAGTGCTTATTTTACTGAGCTATCTCCCCGGCCCCTCTATCTGTTTATCTATCTAAATATTTTTGGTGAAAATCATTTTTTACCCATAGCCATAAATTTTATTGTTTTAATTAACTTTATAATGGGTTGAAAGGCAGGAAGTAGACTCAAGATGAATAAAAATGAACGCAGTGAGGATCGAGTCTTTCTTGTTCTGAGGAAGCCCTCTGGCTCCGCACTGTGCTGTCCTCCTAGGGACCCTGTCACCAATACCTTAGACATTGTTCCAGTGACACGGTGCGGCCACACACGCCACAGGAAGTTCCTTCGGAGAGCGAGGTGGACGTGCGGGGAGATGACATTTTTCATTCTAAATTTCGATTTTCATGGGAGAAAGCGAAGCTACTGGCTGGAATAAAGGACAGGACAGAGGTGCAGGAGAGGTGGGCAGAGGCGCGGCTGCAGGGTGCCTGGCACCGGCCAGGGGCAGAGGTGGTGTTTTCGTGAAGGGGCGCATCTAGGACATCCAGGGGACGCAGAAGACGACATAGAAGGTGAGGCCAGAGGCTGAGCTTCTGAGGGATGGGCCAGTGGCAGGGAGGTTGCAGGCCAGCATCGCCACAGGAGAGGGAAGCGTAGTCCTGCTGACCCTGGGACTGTCCTACCTCGTAGCTGCGTTTGTCCCCCGAGGTCAGCTCAAAGCAGCAGTCCTTCCGGGAGTCCCTGCGCAGGTGGGGGGCCATCCGGACACTGTAGCCCTGCATGGCGAAGGTCCCTTTGGGCTGTTTGCCTGCAAGACAGCAAAGCTCCCTGGGTCCCTACAGAGCGGCGCCAGCCTGGGGATGGCATGGTCCCTGTGATGTCCCATTACAGTCTGCAGACAGTAGTGCGGTCCCCAAGGACCACGGTGGTTCAGAGGTTATGAGGGGCGCTTGGAGGAAGCACCTGTGACAGCCAGTGGGCCCCCCGCCTCAGCAGCGCCAGGGGGTGCCCGGAGGGAGAGGGTCATTTCAGCAGCGGAGACGCAGAGACGGAGAATATGCTCGAAGATGAACAGCTGTATCAGGATGAGAGAGAGAAAGAGGGGCCATGGCCTGGAGGCTCCCAAGGCCATTCTGGAGCGGCAGCACTGGCATCGGGGACAGTGGCTCAGGGGAGGCCCTGGGCTCGCTCTGTAGCCCAGGCTGTCTGCAAACTCGCAGCGTCCTCCTGCCCCAACCTCCTGAGTACTGGGACAACAGGCACGCACCACTGTGCATGGCTGAGCAAAAGGGTTTGTGGGAGACAGCGGGGTGACAAGGTGAAAAAGAAAGCAAAGGAGCAAAACACTGCCGTCCCCACCTGGTTGAGCCAGGAAAAATCCACAGACGCTGAGTGCCCTGAGGAAATGTCCCGGGCATAATAAGAAGTAATTGGCGAGCAGGGAGCCACGCAGCAGTGCTTTTGGACACCGAAATCTTTTTTCCTGAAGTATCTCTTCTTGTTCTAACTGGCCACTAAAATGCTTTGTTGTTTCTGTGGTCGCCAGATTTTATTTCACCTTGACGGCAAAACGGTCAATAAAAGTCTCCCAGCCTTCTCCTCTGCCGCTCCCCCGCCCTCTCGTGGAGAGGACGAAGGCTCTAAGCCGACAGCCCCGAGGCCGGGCCTTCCTCTGGACACCCCCAGCCATTTATTTAAATGCAAGGGACATTTGTACATTTTTACAATGGCCCGAAGGCCAAATTCGTTTGAAGAAAATAGTAGTTGCCTGGTGGGCTTGTGTGCCTGGAGTTCAGGAGAGAACTTGTGGCTGCTGGATCTCAGCATGGGTTCGAGTTTAGGGGCGTTATACAGCTTGCAAAGCA